TTTTCACTAACCCTGCCTCTGGTGTGTCCCTTCCCCTCCAGGTTAACCCAGCACTACGTGATGGCATTTGTCCCTGCTCTCCCGGTGAGTCCCTGTGGGCATCCTGGATGCTGGCCCTGCACGAGGACCAGCCATCCTGATCCTATTTTCCACCACAGCAGCACAGCCCCTGCTCATCTTACCCACCAATTTCCTTTCCAGGCGGTTTTCCTGTATAACCTAGAGGCAAGATACCTGCAGAACCAGGTGGGTCCTGCAGGCCTCGCACCCACAGAGGGTCAGCCCTGGCTCAGGGCTTCCTTCAACCACATGCCCACAGGCTTTTCACGCTTGCCGTCCCTGTGGCACGGCGATGCCTGTCCCCAACGCCCCCCCCAGGTGCCCTGAAGCAGCTCTGGCCCTGGAGATCACCCCATCCTCACAGCCATCTCCCTGATGGACCTCCCTTCGTATTTCCCCACATCAAGAATTTACCTCCAACACAGTCACTTTCGAAGCAGGCGACTCCATCAGAAGCTGCTGAGTGTGGGGCTGATGGAGACCTTCGCACCTCTCTCCCAAAGCTTTTGTGAAGGTGCCACAGCCCCCATCTCCTCCCCTTTGCAGATGATCATGTGGCCGCTGGTGCTGAGTGGGGTCATCGGCAACGTCGTCAACGTGGCTGCAAACTCTGTCTTCCTCTACGTGTTCCATTTGGGCATCACGTGAGTAGAACCCGTGTCCCACGGAGGGGAAAACATGGTGCCGGGCAGTGGCAAGAGACTTTTTGGGGACATCAGCACCACCAAGCATGGCCAAGCACCTGGGGCACAGCAGGAGGTTACGGTCCGGCACCCCAAGGCCCGGGAGGAGTGAGCAAGATGCCGATGACCTTTCTCATTTCCTTCGCAGGGGCTCTGCCTGGGCCAACACCACTGCTCAGTATTCACAAACCATTTTCTTGTTCCTGTATATTATATGCAGGAAACTCCATGTGAAGACCTGGGGAGGTAAGGGCATCTCCCCAGCTCCCTCCGGTTCCTTCTTTACACGAGCCTTCATGAATTTTCCACCACTTTTACAAAGTGAATTCTGTTAGTCCTGACGGTGAAATATTAACCTCAGCCTGGTATGTCCCGGGAACACGGTGCTGCTTCGACGGCAGCACATCCTGCACCAGTGTTGGCAGAGCCCCGTGCTGGACAGTAAACATTAATCCTGGAGAAATGAAACTTCCTGCTGAGGCTTTGTAGGGTTCAGCCCCAAAGCTGGATGAGCAGACGTAAGCACGAGGTTGTCCTTGGACACTCTGCTCTGGGAGGGATGAGCTGGGGGTCGCACTGCTCTGTGCTCCGCAGGATGTGTGTGCTCTGCTGCCGGAGGCTGAGGAGCGTCGCCTTGGTGGCTCTGCCAAAAAGAATGTGGCTGATCTGGTCATTCACCAGGTGATGTTTCTCCTCTCTGCAGGCTGGTCCACTGAGTGCCTGCAGGAGTGGGACAGCTTCATCTCCCTGGCCATCCCCAGCATGCTCATGATGTGCATCGAGTGGTGGACCTACGAAATCGGGAGCTTCTTAATAGGTCAGTGGAGAACGGGAGCTTAAGGAGGTGCCCAGGCTGTGACCCAGAGCGACATCTGGAGGGGTCACAGGGGCCGAGAGTGGCTCTCCACTGGCACCCACACCCAGCGCTGACCCTCTCCTCTCCCCCAGGCCTGCTGAGCGTCGTTGAGCTCTCCGCCCAGTCCATTATCTACGAGGTGTCCGTTGTCGCTTTCATGGTAAGGGCTTGGGGTTATTATTTCAAATCAGGGCTCCTTAGGGACAGTCCCAGGACAGACACCCAGCAAAAACCAGCTCCAGCCAATCCCAGTCTTTCCCCTTTGCACTTAATGCTCTCGCTATTCCCACCTGTCCCTCCTAAGGAGATGTTTTAAATTAAAACACTCTCCTCCGGGCGGTTATTCCACTGTCACTGCAATGGCCCCCCTGCACACGGACAC